CCCCCTCTAAGTGGTTTGATCTCAGTGCTAGGGGCCTCTGGGCCTCCCCAAATGTCAGTGCCTGAAGCCTTTCCCCTGGAGTGGTGTCTGACCCCACACCAGCTCATCAGGCTTTCAGGCCTGTCTCCCAGGCCGGAAGCCCCAGCCTTGAGTCCGGCCACAAGACCACCGCAGCAGGAGCTTCACAGATGCTCCTGCTGCGAAGGTTTAAAGGCAAATGGTTTAGAGAAAGACACAGTTCACTGAGGAGAAAAGGAACAGAAGTAAGTGGGAACCCCAGGCTGGTGGAACCGGGCCGGGAGGGCACTGAGCAAAGTGGAGTCCAGCCCCAGGCACCTGGACCTTCTATCCCTATTTATTCTAGGGCCCCAGCAGCCTCTGGGACTGGTTCCTTCTCGGTGGTCTCACTCACGGCCCTAACGTCTCTGCCCAGAACTGAGTCTGCGTCTGGACCTTGTCTTACTGGAGTCCTTTTCATTGTCCTTGTTTCTGATGGGTTGCCCCCAGTCCTGGGGTGTTTGATTAGGCCCCTCTGGAGCCTCCCTTAACTCTCCTGCGGTATTTTCTGTTCTGTTCAGACCCTAAAAGCTCTCTCTTGCCCTGTGCCTCAACCCCAGAGGGGACCCCTCACTTCTGCGCCCCGGGTTGCCCCAGCCTGGGCTCTGATGCTTCGCCTCCTCGGTTGCTGGGGTAGGGGGGTAGGCGGGGGGCTCCCCTCAGCGGGCTTATGTTGCAGAAGGAAGGGGTCCTAGTAGCACCCCGGCCCTGAGAAGTGGCCCCTGCCCTGCCAGCTTCGCGGCTTACACCTCACTCTCCCTTTAGCTTCCCTTGTCCTGGAGGACTAGCGGGGACCTGTGTTTGATGTCTCTTGATTAACCAGAAAATCACTCGGTCCTTTGTGAAATCCCAGAGGCAGATAACTGTATACATTCTTCTAGCTGTTTTAAAGTTTCAGTGTTTATACCTCCGTCTTTAATCTGTTTTATGTATCAGGGTTACCGACAAGGTTTTATTAAGGGGGGAAAGAGTTCTGTTCCTAAAAAATGCTTATAAAGCAGGAACTGGACCCAGCCCAGGGTAGCAGGGGTGGGGGTGAAGCTCCCTGCCAGCTCACAGAGCTTGTAAACCCAGCTAGGGCTGGTGAGCAGAAAGCTGGTGGTCACCCACCCTCCTGGCCCCGAGGCTGGACCCCCTGGCTGATGGCCACCTCTTGAACCACCTATTCCCAAGGTCCTAAGACTATCACCTCCACCCCCCACCTCTCTGAGTGCTGATCATCTAGCAAGGTGATTTACAATGGCGAGACCACGTAGCGGCCAGGGACTGCTGGTGGACATGCAGGAGCTGTGGCCAAGAGGCCTCTGGTGGTCCACCCAGCTCTCCAAATGGAACCTACTGAGGGACCCACTCTTGTGTGTCTGTTTAACCAGAGCCGGGTTCCTGTAGGGTCAGGCCTTGAACTGAGGGAGGAATTTAGGCATTGCTGTCTTCTAGAGCAATAAAAGTTCCTCAGCACAGCTTTGAGCCATTTAGTTCCTCATTAAAGAGCTCCAGGACTCTGGGGGAGACAGACATAAATAGATAATTACAGCGCAGGGAGCTGTATGCCTGGGGGGTTAACCATTCCCAGCCTCCTAATTGACCTTCCGGATTCCAGCCCCTCCCTCTCCCACCCACCCTGCACTTCGCTGCCAGAGTGAGCTTCTACAAAGGCGGGATGTGCTCTTGACTTTCACCACCTCCCACAGCAGTCCTTTGGCCTCTGGGTTCTGTCTGAGCTCCTCCCACCAAACTAACCCCAACGCATGCTAGGACTCTTGCCTCGTGGCCCCCAAATATGCTCTGATTAGGCAGGGCTGCTGGTAGACCTATTCTGTGCCCCTCCAGGCCTCAGCTTCCCGAGGCCTCTTCTGACCCTGGCCCATTACTGTGCACCTCTCAGACCACACCGTAGTTGCCACTGCCTCCAGACAGCCCTCCCTGACCACTCCCACCAGGTTTTGGTGCCCTCATGACGCGCTTTAGTACATTCTGTGTGGCCTCGTGGTAGCCCTTACTAGCCTGTGTCTGCTTGCCCAGCTTCTTCCCCAGACTTTGTTCTCAAAGTCAGGAATCCATTCATCAGCTCCCAGAAGTGTTTTTTAAAAGATTTATTTATTGCTGCATACAGAACTGGGGTACAGGCCAGAGTGAGGGGCAGTGAGAGGATTCACCAGACAGTGGGGAGCAGAACAGGCAGAGGATGAAGTACACTGCTGAGGGGAGAGCCGGCGGTCAGGGAGCCAGGACTCCTGCCTGCCTGCTTGCCCGAGGCTGTCCTGGAGTCTGGGCTGCTCTCTCCAGAGTCCACTCTCCAGCTCCACTTCCTCTCTTGCAGAATGCATGAACTGTACCCGGCTTAGCGACATGAGTGAGCGGCTGACCACGCTGGAGGCCAAGGTCAGAGGGCCTGGGGAGCCTGGATCTAAGGAGCTGCTGGAGTGTGGGCACCACGCGCCTGCTGGGTGCGGCTGCGCAACGCCCAGGGTGCTGCAAGTTCCCTCGTGGCTCCCAACGGCCTCTGGGCTGGGCCTGGGAGGAGAGGCCTAGGGTCTCAGGTCGCTGGGCCACCTCCAGATCGCCACAGAGACTCAGGGGCAGAGGGACTGTGGGGTGCCTGTGGGAGGCTGGCTGTGCGGAAGGGAAGATGCGAGCCCTCCCACGGGCAGAGGCACAGCGTCTGGGCAGGTGGCATTGCCCAGGGGCTGGGTGTGAGTGTGGCCAGCCGACAGGGCTGCCGGAGTGAGGACAGAACACGGAGGCCCCTGGACGACCCCAGTCTCCCAGTAAGACCCCTGAGAACAGGGGAGGTAGGCCCCCACCCGAAGGGCCTGCTGGGAGGCTGTCCCCCGTACAGACATGCAAATACACACAGAACACCGGCCCTCGCCCACCCTGCACTGCCCTCCGGCCCTGCCTCCCGTCCTGAAAAGCTGCCTGGGAGGACACCTGCCAACTGGAGGGACAGCAGGTGACTGCCATTTGGAGTGAGGCATACTTGGGACCGCCAGCCACCAGCTGGGTGGCTCCCACGGAACTCCCACCTCCTCAGCTGAGAAAGGCATTAAAGCATCAGCCTAGAAAGGCTGCACGGGCCTCAGGTGACGTGGTGGTGACTCTGGAAAGGTTACGTGCTGGGCAGGTGTGATGTCAGTGTTCTCACCTACCCCTTCACTGTCCGCCACAGATGAAGGCACAGGTGTATGGGAGACAGCCCCAGAAGGGGTGGGGGTGGACTTCTGGTAGCTTTAAAGGCTGAGTCCCCAGGCCAGCTGGCCTGATGGGCATTTTCCAGATACCTGAAGCCGCCCTGTGGTTTGGCAGCGTGTGGCCTGGCCGCAGTCCAGAGCCTCAGGGTGTTAAAAGTAACAGCTCTGGGGGAGGACCAGTGCCATGCCAGCTGTACCACCCCCGCGTGCTGGCCATGCCCGCTGTCTGAGCAAGTCCTCCACCCTCCCGCCCTCACACCTCCCTCCCCTGGGCCCCGCATCACAGCCAGCAGGTCATTGGGGCCAGGGAGCAGCAGTCTGCAGAGGGGGCAGGGACACAAGCTGGGCAGGTGGCCAGGGCACTTCACACTCCAGGGGCAGCACCGAGGCCAGGTGAATGGAGGGGTCAGATTTGTGGAGCTGGGTCAGGACTTGGAGTCAGCCAAGCGAGGGAGAACCAGGCAGGCAGTCGCCAGGCAGCTGGCGTAAGAGACCAGCCCAGAGGTCTGGAAACTGAGGCTCTGCTCCCTCAGAAAACCTGTTCTGGTGTGTCAGGAGGAGAAGCCCAGTAAATAGCAGCTTATTCCGTTTAGCATTGGTTCAGGAAGTCCAGAATAGGTGGTCTTGGAATTGGTTTGGTGACTCAAGAACTCAGGCTTTTTACAGCCTTCCCGCTGACTTAAAGACTTGGCCTTTGTCCTCACGATGACAAAGTGGCTGCTGAAGCTCAAGACATCACACCGCCCCTCCTACAATTATGTCCAGAGGCAGGAGATGGAGGGGCAGAGGCAGAGGACCCCAATAGATTCATTTTATCTCATTGGCCAGCACTGGGCTAAGGCATCCCCTAGTTGCAAGGGAGCTTGGGAGAATGGGTATGTGGTAGCGTAGGCCATCATCATTCTTCCTCCAGAGCACACCCCTCGGTACACAATAGGAGGTGCTGGAGTCCAGGGAAGAGGGAGTGGCTGGGGGCCAGGAAGCCCGCAGTGCATGTTCTATCTTCTCTGCCCTTCTCTGTGGGTGACAGTTTGCCAGGACTGATCCAGAAGCCTGCCACCCTCTTGCCTTGGAACAGGCTGTGATGGCTGCTAGGGACTAGCCGGGCAGGAGGCCTGAGTGAGAGAGCGTCCTGCCTGCCTTCCTCCCCCTCAGTTTACACTCTGACCTCAGGGACCACAGGGAGTGGGAGGGAGCCCAAGGGGATTTCCCTGCACGAGGGTCATGCGGTCTTGGAGGCTGGGCTGCTCTCTGGTGCAGGAGGTTGGCCAATTGGCCAGGCCGCCGTGAGGTCATCCGGGCACTGCCCTCCAACTGCAGTCTGCTTCTCTTGGACTGAGTCCCCGCACCCACGGCCGCTGCCTGATGAGCTCATGCCCAGCAGGGAGGGCATCGGTTCCTCCAGGGGCTTGGCCACATCCAGGCCAGCAAACTTGTCCTTCAGCCAGGGCTGGTTCTGACTGGCCGGGGCTCCTTTCCCTGGCCTCTCCGGTGGCCATCTCAACTCCTGACCCGTGGATCCCTTCCTGTTTGTCCATCTGGAGCTGCCCCTAAGACACTGCAACTCAACCCACCTCCAAACCTCACACACCACCTTCACCCGCAGGCCTGCCCACGCCCGAGACTTGGGCGGTGCCACCGAGCATCTCCAGGGCCAGCCCCAAACCAGGGGTCACCGCGCTTGACCCCCCTGCTCCCACGCCCCAGGGATTAATTCCGCCCTTTCCTCACCCCCATCACTGCCCAGTCCCCTCCATTACAAGCTACTGACAGCCAATTCTCTCCCCCTTCCCCAGCTCCTCCAAGACCCCAAAGCCTCAATCCTGTCAGTGGGCCCTCAGGGGTTAGAGCAGGAATGGTGAGCCTCCTCTCTGTTTGAGGATTTTGGGGGTCAGGAGACCCAACCACACCCTTCTTTGTGCTTGCACCAGCCTCTGCCAAGGCTGTGGAGGAGCCGTGAAGGGGCCACGCCTTGCCTGTGATGTGGCCCAAGATGGCCCTGACCCCCCTGGAAATGGCATAGCGGGGTCTGGGGAGGCCCCAGGATTCTGGTTTGGGGGCAGGTTCAGGATGGAATGGGGTGTGGTATCCAGGCCAACGGGCCAGGGTTCAGGTGCCTTTGGGTACTTATGGGGCTAGAAGTCAGTGATGATGGTAAAAGCAGGGACGCAGGCGGGCATAGCACCCCACCCTCAGACGGCTTGTGGAGTCTGGGGACCTAGCTGGAGGCAGGACTGGCTCCCCAGGCAGGAGGGGTCCACGCACTGTGCTCCTGCCCCCCGCGGGTGTTCTGGACACAGGCCAGCCACAAGCACCCCAACCACGTAGTCCTGACCCCAGCTGGGCACGTGGAGGACCAAGCACGCCCAGTGCCTCCCCGGGGGTCACGCATAGGTGATCTGACTGGTCGTCACTCAAACCACTGCTGGCTTCTGCCCCCGGAGACGGTGTCTCGGGGAGAGGAGTCGGCGGCTCTGAAGGTGTCTGATGGGGGCCCGCTTGAGCCCCAGGGCCAGGAGGAGAAGGGTTTTCCTGAGTGGGAAGGAGAGGTGGGGGGTGGGGGGCAGCATAGATTCTGCAGCCGACTGCCGGTCTCGTGGGCATGCATCGTGGGGCGGGGCCGTCCGCGCCCGGGGCTGACCTCTGCCCTCCTCTGCCAGGTTCTCTTGCTAGAAGCAGCAGAGCAGACCTCCGGCCCCGACAACGATCTGCCGGCCCCCCAGAGCACCCCGCCGACTTGGAACGAGGACTTCCTCCCTGATGCCATCCCCCTTGCCCACCCGGGGCCTCGGAGGAGAAGGCCCACGGGCCCCGTGGGTGAGTGAGGCCTCTGGGCGTGCAGGCGTAGCCAGTCAGGGCCTCCCGCCGGCCACACAACGGCTCCTGGTTTACAGGCCCCCTTGTGACATGCAGAAAAGTTGAGCTCACATTTTAAAACTGGGGGTTTCGTGTAAAAATCAGAATTGGAGGGTCTGGCCGTTGGGACGGCTGACCTCATGGAAACAAACCAGCCGTCCTCATTACCTGCTCTGCCATCCGCTGGCGTCTGCTCTTAGACCTCCAGCCCAGCCCGCTCTCGTGTGACTGATTTCACAGCAGCCGCCTGCCCACCCCCGGGGATGGGGCAGTTCCGGCCTCTCCCACCTGCTGGTTCCTGCTGAACCTCCCTGGGGAGACAGGACATTCAGCACCCTGTTGCTCTCTTCCCTCGCATGTTAAAGTCAGGGCTAACCACTTTCTCTCCATCGGTCTGGTTTCTGCTCTCTGGGACTGCAAGGTCATCATAAAATGTAGGACCCCCTTTTCTCCTTACCCATGGTCAACTGGGTAAGCGTGTATGAGACACGCTGAGAGTGAGACAGGACACAGTCCCCTGACCTCCACAGCATATGCCATGGGTTTTCTTTTATTGCTAATTGCTCATTTCTTACTAACTTACAAATCAGCCTTATCTTATGTGTGTAAGTGTAAAGGGAGTTTGGTGCTATTGTGGTTCCAGGATCTGGGGGGGGGGGTCTTAAAAGAGGGGTCCCTGCAAGAGAGGGGTGACTGTGGTTGTCATTAGTCAGGGTCGCGGGGTTTCTCCCTGAGTGGCCTCTGGCTGCCTCTGGTCAGTGTGGCCCCGCTAAGATTTTAAGACTGAGCGCTTCCGACGGGTGGCTGTGCTGTAGCAGTTACTAAATGGTTTTGTGTCACCCTAGTTGTTTGGAGATTATTTCGAATCATCCCAGTAAATCTTGGAGGAGGGAACTGAGGCCAGCGTTGTTGATCTCTGGGGCCTCCCAGTGATCCTGGAGCTGACGCCCTAACTCTCTCGTTTCTCCTCCAGCTTCTCAGCCCAGATAGCTCTGGGCATCTGCCTCTGTCCCCTCCCGACTTCTCTGTTCCCTCGTGTTGGGAGGGGAAGCCCGGAGACAGGAGAGCTGGCTTCCTGAAGCCCTTCTGAGGGAGAGGAGGGTGAGCTCAGGTCTGCTGTGAGGAGGGGTGTCCTCATTATGGGTTTCTAGCTTCCCATTCCCTGAATACCCCAGCCCCAAACCTCCTGGGCCACGGGGGAGGGGGGCTGGGGGTTTGGGGGTGAGAGGGGTGGGAGAGGAGGCTCAGAGGGGTGCGGGCTCTCTTTGGCCCAACCTTTTTTTGACCAGGGAAAATGCACTTCTAAGAAAGGCCACCAGGTGGCGCACAACTCCTACAAATGGCAACACCTGGGGCGCCCTGGAAACTCCCAGAGCTGGGGGGAACCTGGGGAAAGCAGAGAAAGCAGCCACCTTTTCAAGCCCTCTTCCTGGACACATTCACCTGCAGTGTGAACAGGGGCCTGAGAAACCAGAGCAGGTCCCTGCATCAGTTCAGTGGGCATCTCCAGGCATTCCAGAAGGGTCTGCCCCAGGCCACTCACGGGCCTTTTGCCAGGCCACCTGTGGGGCTCAGAGGCTCGAGCTGGGCAAAGGTGGCCCTCAGGCCTTCACAGAGACTCTTGTGGCAGAGTGTCTGCCACAGCCCACTTCGCAGCCTGAGCAGGGAGCCGGTAGGGTGTGCAGAGAGCCTGGCTCTCCTGCAGCTGGCTCGGAGACCTTGAACAAGGGGCCACACCTCTCTGAGCCTGCTCTCCCACCTATCAAGTGGGAACAAAAGTAGCTATGGTGAACACGGAAGTTAAAAAGTGCAGCACCAGGTTATAAACTGATAAAAGATACGCAAGCTGGCTGTGGTGCCTTTGTTCTTCAGGGGAGATCAGAGGGGGGGGTGTTACTTGGGGGGTCGATCTGACAGAAACCCTGGTGGTCAGGTCTGGGCTCTCTGGTGGCAGCACAACCCACAGTGTTCTCAGGTTTCATCTCATTCTCTCCCCAGGGCCCCCAGGGCAGACGGGACCCCCAGGGCCTGCAGGGCCCCCAGGCTCCAAAGGCGACAGAGGCCAGGCAGGGGAGAAGGGCCCAGCAGGGCCTCCTGGTAAGGACATTCTCCACCTCTCAGTGTCCACTGGGGGCTGGGGGGCTGGTGGGCCCTCCAGTTTGAACGAGGCACCCCAGACACCCCCGTTTGCTATCGCTAATGACTGCCAGCTTGGGGGCTCCAGGTGCATGTCCACCCTCTGCACCCCCACTGCTGACCACCACCCTGGACTCAGGAAGAGAAGGCTCTGGAAGCAGTGGCGCAAGGCCTTCTCTGAGAGTCCCCATTCCTCCTGGGTCCTTGGGGGAGTGAGCCCTTGGTCAGGCCAGGCACCATTGGTGCCCCCGCCCTGGAGCTGAGGTCTCTGCATGGCGCAGAGGGCATCTGGCAGAGCTGCCGCCACCCCCACCCCCCAACCCCACCCACAGGCCCGGCTCCCCTGCATGGGCTGGGAGGGGATGCCATTGCTCTGACAGCCCAGGAAGCGCCCAGGCTTATTGTCCCCTCTCCCCGCCCCTGTTTCCTCTCTGTAATGTCAGCAGCGGAACCCTCATATGCCTCCTCTTCTCCCCCTTGCAGGCCTCTTGGGGCCGCCAGGGCCCCGCGGGCTCCCTGGAGAGACAGGGCGCCCTGGCCCCCCTGGCCCCCCTGGCCCCGCAGGCAGCCCGGGCCTCCCTCCGAACATCCCCCAAGGCGTCCTGTACTCCCTGCAGCCACCTACGGACAAGGACAGTGAGTGCCGAGCCTGGGGGTTTGGGGGGCAGGCCTGAGCCTCGCTGTCTTCTGGGGGAGTGAGTCAGTGTTCCCCAAGGATCCCATGAAGTAGACCCCACCAGTGAGTGAAGTACTGGCTTGGGACTGAGGGTCTGCCGGGTGGGGGTGGTCCCTCGGGGGCTGACAGTGGCCCTCAACCTGCTTCGGTCCCCACGTGCCCATCCCTCCCTCTGTGCTCAACGCTTGCCCCTGGGACCCTGAACCCCCAAAGGTCATTCTACTTACTGACCTGGCCCCTGCTTCCCTGGTGGCAGCGGCCCCACCAGTCACTATGCCAAGTGCCCTCACTGTAGGCTGTGCAGGAGGGTTCACTGAGCACCTACTCTGTGCTGGGCACACGTCTCACTGGGGTTACAGCAGAGCAGAGCAGACTCCCCCTCGGGGCGTCTAGTGCACAGGCCGCTGAGGATGAAGACACCTGCTTCGGGGCGGTGCTGTGCGAGCCCCGGGCGCGAGGGCAGGGCGCTGGGTCTGAGCAGCCGTGAGCAGCTGTGCCAGCGTTGCCCTGGGAAGCCAAGGAAGGAGGGGGGCCCTCAGGGGCGCAGAGGGTGATCGGCACCTATCTTTGCTGTCAGAGAAGCCGAGCCTCCCTCCAGCTGGTGCCTCTGTTCCCAGGCAGCAAAGGCAGAGCTGGGGCTTGAGCCTGAGCCACATGGTGTGAGCCTCAGTTTCCCCACCTATAATGTGAGGTGCTAGTTCTCCCTGACAAGCCCTGGTCAGTGCCTGCAGCAGGGGGTGGGACCCATTCCCAGGCAGACTGGGGTCCTGGGCTGCCCTTGGGGGGGATGGGAGCTGGGCCAGGCAGGGGCTGACCCCGTTCTCACGCCTTTCAGAGCAAGTTTTCACTCCCCCAACTCCACCCCCTCACCCTGAGGTGGGCCCAGCGGTGCATCCTGGGCTGGGAGGGGGTGGATGACACCTGTGACATGCGTCTGGGGTCTCAGGGCTCAGGACGCCCCCCCCAACACACACACCACAAGGAGCCCCCCGGGGGCTCTCTGTGCCTGGGCCTGGGTGGGATGCCTCTGGCGCTGCCCACCTCAGAGCCCTGAGCCCTCCTGACAGGGCCCCCTGTGCTTCCTGGGGGTCTGGGCGTGAGTGTTTGGGAAGAAGGAGGGGCTCCAGCCAGGACAGAGCAGGAGGCTCACCTGCCATGAGGCTGCCAGGTGTGGGGGGGGCGGCGGGGGGAGCCATCCCCACCCCAGGCATTTCCGGCTGCTGCTGGGTTGCCGGGAGGGGACAGGGCGATGTCACTGGGACTCGCTTTTGAGGGGCTCAGGCCCCGGAGAGCGGCTTATAGAAAGATCTCACCCAGGGGGAAGAAGGGCTTCCTGGAGGAGGGCTCCCGGGGTGCAGTAGGGTGGGCACGAGAGGCAGAGCCGCAGGAGGCTGCCACACTGGGCACCAGGGAGGTGGGAGCGGGGCGGAGCCTGAAGGCCTCGGAATGTTCGAGAAGGAGCTTGTGCTTTATGCGAAGCCCACAGTGTTCCGCCTTTGACCAGGCCTCTGCGCTCTTCAGGAGGGGTGTCTGCTCACCGGGGCTTCTGTGAGGCTGGGGGTCGGGGGTCCATTTCGTCTCAGGGGACCAGCCCCCCACCCTGCTGGCCTCGCTCTGCTGGTCACAGGCCGCTCTGCCTTCCTCACAGATGGAGACGTGCAGCTGGCTTCTGCTGCTGTGGACACAGTGCTGGCCGGCATCCCAGGGCCCCGGGGCCCGCCTGGCCCTCCGGGTGAGTGCAGAGGTCACTGCTGAGCCTGCCCTGGACTGAGTGCCTCCACTTGGGCTCATCCTGGCCAAGGGGCCTCAAGGGTGTGTGATGGGGACCCATGGTTGAACCCCTCTGCGGCCTGAGATGGACAGCAGCTCCCCTATGGGACTGGACATAGGAACCCCACGTGTTTCTGCGGTCTGCAGCCCCGCCCCTGAGGCAGCTGTGGGCTGCCCTCCTGTGGGCTGGAGGGGCATGGAGGGTACCGGGAGCCAGTCCCCTTGCCTCGCCTACGCCTGCCCGCCCAGCTGTGTGGATGTCTCCAGGACATGTTCTGCCAGCGAGTGAATGAGCCACAGAGGCATGGGCACCTCAGGGATAAGCTTCAGGCCCACAAATGCCATACATTTATGCTCATGCACTCAACGAATATTTGGGCAGGTCAGTGTCCGTGACCGTGGGTGGGGACTGCTGCGTGTCAGGGGTCTGTCTTGAAGTCAGGTTGGGCAGGTTGCTGGGAAGGCTTCCTGGAGGAGGTGATGCTCATTTGAGGCTAGTAGGAAAGGGTTTTGAGATGTGGAGGGAACAGAGAGGCTCCAGAAGGAGAGACAGCATCAGAAAAGGCGGGGAAGCAGAAGTTTGGAGGGAGACGGCTGGAGGGACCAGATGTCTCAGAGAGACTGCACAGAGGTGGACGGTCAGGAGGTGGTTATGGAAGTTCAGGGAAGAAGGATCAGGGCCCAGATCCCAAGAGAGGGCAAATGAGAGAGAAGTTTGCTGAGGACTGGCTGGCTGGGGTGTGTGCAGGCCCACGGGCGAGCCCCTGGAAGGAGGAGCATGTTGAGGTGTGGGGGCTGCAGGGGAGAGTGGGTGGAGGCAGGCTCTGTGCTCTGAGGGTGGGCCCGGGAGGCCGGTGCGCCCTTCCTGACCCTTCCTCTGACAGTCACTCAACAAACCCACAGACAGCCAGCGCCAGGGCTGGGGGTGGAGGGTAGGGATGTCCTGCTCCCAACTGCTCTGGCCCTAGATGACCATGTGGCTCTGCCAACAGGTCCACCAGGGCCACATGGTCCCCCGGGGCCCCCAGGTGCACCTGGATCCCAGGTAAGGACTTACCCATTGTGTCCCTAGTAGGCAGTGGGAGTGGGGGCATCTGGGCGGCTCCACACGCCTCCAGGAGCACTTGACTCCAGCTGCCCCAGCCCAGGGCATCACGGCACAGAGGTGATGGAGTTCCTGCCCCAGCTGCCCAGGGCAACTGCTTTTGGGGCCTGCCCCATCATTTCATCCCAGCAGCAATGGAGAAGCAGAGACCGAGAGGCTCCGGCCCTGGCTGGGTCACAGAGTGGACAGCAGGGGTGTGGCCAGGTCTCTGCTCTTGCCAGAGTGTAAGTTGGGTAGCCTCATCCTCCCAGGCATTGCTTTCAGGAGCTTCCAGACAGAGCTGCTTCTCTTGTCTGTGCAGACCAGGCCTGCAGCAGCCTTTGGGGAACTCGCTCTACATGATTCCAAGGAGGTTCAGGGGCACTGACCGCCTGGCCAGTCCCCCAGAGAGGTCGTGCCTGGGCATCAGCATGGGGTGGCTGGGGCTCCGGCTGCAGCATCTTGACTCCGGCCCTTCGTGCTGCACCGTCCCTGCAGGCTGAGGCCTAACCTGCTTTGATTTTCTGCAGGGCCTGGCTGGAGAGCGGGGCACAGTGGGGCCGTCTGTAAGTGTGGGGTGGTGGGACCTGGCGGGGGGGGGGGGGGCTGTGGGCCAATGGGCAGGGCTTGCTTGAGCTCCGCCCGGTGACCTGACCCCTCAGCCAGGACGGCTGAGGGGCAGAAAGTGCAAAATGAGCTGCTTACTTTAAGAAGGGGCCCCTTGGGGTGGGGGAGCGGTCTCACTGGGAATGCCAGTGAGAGCCAAGTCCCCTGTTAACACTGGTTTGGGGCGGCAGCCCGGGGAGAGTTGGATGGGAGTCCCGAGGTCACTTCTAGGGCGCCCAGGCCCTGGTTAGTGTCCTGTGTGATAGGAGTCCTTTCCCTTCTCTGATCCCCCCAGAAGTAAGAGGCTTAGACAACTGACCTTGTATTTCCCTTCTTGGAAACAAGAAATTCTCAGTCTCAAATGAGAACCTGCTTTGAGTCCAGGCCTCATGTGGGGGCCATGGGGCCGGGAAAGAGGGGCGGCTCTGTGCCAAGCACCTGCTTTTACAGCGCCCAGCGAGCCTGTGCTTTACTGTTGCTCTTTGCCAGAACTGGCGGCTGAGGCTCAGAGAGGTTAAGTAACCTGCCCAGGATCACACAGCATGCAGCCTCTTTTTGGATTTCTGTCAAATAACCAACAGCCACGTGGTGGACACTTTGATGGTGCTTGAGGCACCTGGCTCCGGTGTGGGCTCATTATCAGTATTTATTCCCTTAATCCGCTGAGAGCTCCATGTGGTAGGCACTGTTACTGCCCTGCTTTAGACACATGCGCACCGGCCCAGAGAGGTACAGTCACTTGCTCAAGGTCGCTCAGAAGTGGCCGCTTAGGTATTCTTGCAAGGGATGAACACACAGGGGTCCCTCCTGCCCCAGCAGCAGAATGAAACCCCTATAGCCAGTTTAGACACCTCCCGTGGCAGGCCTGTGTCCTCCTGCCCTGCCCACTGAGGCAGGAATCTTCCCCCCTGGGGGCCCAGCACAGTGCCAGGTCTTCTGCCGAGGCACTTGTTGTTGACTGTACTCTCTCTTCCCAGGGCGAGCCTGGCGGGAAGGGGGACGAAGAGGAGAAGGCCACCGCTGAGGTAACTGCCTCTGGGCTCCTGCTCCCTCTCCCCCACAGTGTCTGGGGAGAGCAGCTTCTCTCCCCGTGGACACTGGCCTCCATCAGCCCTGAGCCGTGTGCTGGCTGCTGGGGAAGGGGACCCCAGGCCGTGGGAGACAGGAGTCAAGTCATGATGGCGTGAGGTCGGCTTCGAGAGTGACTAGCCCAGGTTGGGCCAAGGCAGGAGGCACCATGGACATGAAGCTCCTTTAAGGGGACGTCAGGCTGGAGGGGCCCCTCCATGCCGGCGCCTGGCACGCACACACTGAAGGAGGAGGGCGGGCGGGGGCTGGCCGGTGTGCAGGGGCTGGTGAAGGAGTGAGGGTCGAGCCCACGGGGGTCAGGGCAGAGCAGGGTGGAGGGTGTGTGGCCTTGAGGACCTGCTGCCTCCTGGGAGGAGGGGGGGCTGCTGAAGGCGGGCTGGATAAGCTGTGAGCCCCTGGGTCCTGTGGGAGAGACTGCCCACTGAGAGCCAGAGTCCCGGCGTGTTGGCTCAGAGCGGCTGCAGCACAGTGGACTCAGTATCCCCTCAGCTGGGGGGGTCAGTTGGAAGGTGACTTTGGAGGCCGCACCTGTGGGCATCAGGACAGGCAAGGCTGAGGCCAGGCGACCTTCAGTAGGTCCTCGCAGGACTGGAGACCGGGGGCTGGGGACGGAGGTCCCGGACCGGCCACGGTGGGTGTGGGAGAGCGGGCCGGAGGCGTGGGCGTGGGTGTGGACAGCCTCCGGCCACTTGCTGAGGGACAGTGAGGGCACCGTGGCTTCCTCCTGCCTCGGAGAAGAGCCTGCAACGCCCAGGGAAATGGGCTTAGCTGGGTCCTCAGCGAGGCTCCTGGGCCGCGGCTCCCTGTGGGATTAGCCCACTGGGGTGACCTTGTTTCAGTCCGATTGTCAACAGCTGCCAGTTACCCTGTTAGGCAATTTCCCAGAGAAATCAGAGGCCTTCGGAGAGGTGGAGAGAGCGAGGCTTACTTGTCTCAGTGGGATCAGTCCCAAAAGGCTGAGCCCCGAATTACAGGAGTGGTGAGGTTTCCTACAGGTTGTGTGAGGACCCCGTCATCCCATCCGTCATGGCATGAGCTTTCTTCATTGTTCGGAGCGGGGTTGAGGTAGCCAGAGCTACCACTGTGGGCCAGCAGCACTGCAGGGGCTTTCTGCTCCAGCGAGCAGCAGGCCCCCCCCGCAGCAGGGCCCCCCAGCAGCAGGCCCCCCCAGCAGCAGGGCCCCCCAGCA